CTAAACTTGGATTTTCTCTGAAAATTCATAAGCTTGAAAAGAAGGCCATCTTCAAAAAAGAACATTGCTCAACTCAACAAAGGGACCTGATAGAGTGAAGAAGAGTCTTTGTTGTATTTAGAGCTTTGTGTCTCATGTGCTTACATTGTAAATCTGATCCTAATCTATAAAGGATTTAGATCTTGTTTCAGTTTCTAAAAGTTTAAGTCATCTAGAGTTAGGTGATTTAGCGGACAACATCATTGTTGCTTAGTTAAAATCTAAATTGTTCAGAGGGTGGTGGTTTAGTGGGCGGTGTGGTATCCGCTTAGAAAAATCTATATTTATCAGTGAGAGTTAGTATAGTGGGCAGTGTTGTATCTGCTCTGGCTCAGCTAAGTGATAGGAGGAATTGCTTAGTGTGGAGATTAGCAGGCTAATCTCATTTTGTAAACTGGCTTTTACTTTTGCTTGGAAAAGATTAGTGGAAGCAGTTTGAAAAGTCTTGTTGAGAATAGGTCGTGGTTTTACTCCCTTGAGCAAGGAGGTTTCCATGTAAAGTTATTTGTTCAATCTTTACTTTCAGCACTTATTTTATTGTTTGTTATTGTAACTGTGCTGAGGACCTGGTCCCATCAAAACAAGTGAACGCATATTTTAGTTACTGTTCTTGCTGAGTCAAGGGACCTGGTCCTTGACTGATAAGTGGACGCATACATTCTAACAGTGTCTAAATCATATAATCGTATTGTTGCAGGAGGATCTCTATTACCCTCATCCATTGGTTCAAGATTTAATGTGGGACAATCTCTATATATGTACCGAGCCCCTATTGACTCGTTAGCCTTTCAACAATCTGACAAATAAAACACTTGAAATTGCCATGAAACACACACACTATGAAGACGTGAATAGTGAATACATCACCATCGCTATTCAAGCACTATTGGCTAGTGAGATGTGTGATGAGATATCATATACTCTTACAAAAGGACATGACTTTATAAAAAAAATCTCAGGTTGGATGTTAGATCATAAGAATAACAACTCTTTCAAAATATAGACCTTATTAATGTAAGTAACTTCTTGCAGGTGAAAGACAATCTTTCTGGTGATTTCAAAGGGATGTATCGACATATCTAAAAATGATCATGGACTTTCACACATCAAAATCATGGATGACAAGTATAGGATTGCACGGTCGAAGGATTAACGGTACCTAACTTTTCAATGAAATAAGATTTCAACTTCTTGTATTTGCTGTAAAATGGTACTATGATAGTGCTAGTTAAGTGGCCTGATATCTTCTTAATTTCGTTTCTCTAGTGCTGCCTTCTCTACTTTACAATGCCTCCTGAAATCCAGAGCGTTTGTATGATCAGTGAATGTTATTACAGCGGAACGGAATCAACAGATGCCACTAAATATGATAACGATTCAGAGACTCTTAAGTGCAGCCTCATCATACACGAGCCCGAGAGACATGCATGATCCTTCTCAATGCTCATGTAATTGTCCATGCCTATAGCTTCCCAGTCAATATGTTGCACAATACCAGCAACTTAGTTCACCAACATGATCATGATAGTGTTGTGATTGTAGTGTTTCCTGGACATCTAGTCTATTCACCTGCGCCATGAGAATTTGTAATCGATCGCCAATTCTTGTTGACACAGGCGACTGGGAGCTGAAGTGATTTTCTGAAAGGCAGATCAACGTAATTATATTTTTTTTTAAAGAAGTTGTGAGTTAAGTTAAACTATTAAAGCCTCTAAAGAGTTTTTATCAAAATCCTACAAAAGTATATATGCTTAGTATCATATTCTAACTTCTACTTCTTCTCAAAATATTATATTGAAGTAGGTGGAGAAAGGAAATTCACCTTGACCTAAACCTAGAAGAGTCGTCGTTGATCCTTGCTATTTCGACTGGTTAGGCCAAGATGGCCTCTGGCCAATCTGTTTCGGAGGTTGGTCAACCTCTTAAGACGTACGCGAATGCATTGAAATCCAATCAACAAGTGGAGAAGGTGGTTGTGCGCAAACCAATTTCGTATTTGCATGGCGAGCCCATTGTTATATGGGATCAGAAGGAGGTGGACAACATGATTGTTCGTGAAAACTTGCAGTTTGATATTGTGGGTAAATTCTCCTATGGCTATCCTGATATCCGTGAGTTACGGAGGCTTATCCCAAAGCAATGTGAATTGAAAAGGGAATGCATAATCGGCTTACTGAGTAATAGACATATTTTGATTAGGGCGTCGCTGTTGGAGGATTATGTGCACCTTTTATCAAAGTCCGCTTTTTATATTACTCACCAACAGTGGTCATATCCCATGAGGACGTTTAAATGGGATCCCATGTTCGATCCGAAGAAAGAGACAACTATGGCGGTGGCGTGGATATCCTTTCCGTCTCTTCCCCCGAATTTCTTTTGCGAAGAGGCCATTTTTTCACTGGCCGCTGCGGTAGGGAAGCCTTTGCAAGTGGATGTAGCAACGAAGAATAAAACACGACCAAGCTGCACGAGGGTTAAGGTTGAAGTTGACTTGCTTAGTGAATTCCCAAAACGGATCAAGATTGGCATCAAACAGGAGGATGGGGCAGTGCTGGAAAAGTGGACACCGATAAAGTATGACTACGTTCCAAAGTATTGCATAACGTGCTCGATTCAAGGGCATGATGAAGGCCAATGTTATGTGAAACACCCAGAGCTTTTTAAGAAGAAGAATATCAAAGGGGGGGGAACAAGAGGACAAGGATAAGGGAAACAAAAAGCATAAGAAGGCAAAGCCTAAAGAGGGGGCACAGAAGCAGCTGGACACCTAGCCTGAGGGGTTTGTGGAGCAAAAAAAGAAGTTTGGGGGTGCAAAGCAACAACAACACGCTAAGCAGTGGCAAGTTAACACTAAAAATAAGTTTGCCAATTTGGGTGGGATAGAGGATGACAGTAATGAGGTACAGGAAGTACAAGGGAATAAAGTTATCACTGGAAAGTTGTCTACAAAGGCATGGGTAGAGGGACGATTAAAGAACGTGGACAATAGTGAAGGTGTTGGGGACAAGGGAAACAATATCAACACCAAGGTTGTTAAGGATAAGAGGGATGAAAATATTTCCCAAGATGTGGGGAACAAGGGCTCTACTAATCAGGGTCAACAAGATGACCTTGTTGACACAACTACTAATGACAATATCAACATGGAGGGACAGAATGACTTGGGGGTGGAGATAAAGATGCCTCAAGATTCACAGGGCTTAAAAGAAACAGAGGAGGACGCGGGGATCGAAGATAATATCAACAATGCATGTACTTTGGGGGATCTATCCCCTAGACAATCTAGCAGTTTAATAGCCAAAAGGGGAAAATCCAATATTCCCCTTCAGGTTCAGACAAAGGGGCAGTAACGGTAGGTCAGCAAGTAGTGACCAATGATAGACAAAACTTTATTTTGGAATATTCGATCAGTTAATACCCAAAATGCATTTGGGAGATTGGTCGATCTCAATAGAAGAAACAATTACAATTTTATTGCTCTTATGGAGCCTTTTCAGGCTCCGAGGGAGATTCATAATTTTAGAGTGCGGTTAGGATTTGACAATGCTTTTGTCAACAGTTCTGAGAAAATATGAACTTTTTGGCGGAATGAATGGGAAGGGATGGTTGTGCAGAATGCTATTCAACAGCTTACAATGAAGTTTTCTTGGGGCGGGAGGATTTTTTTCATTACTTCAATCTATGCTAGGTGCGATGCCATGGAAAGATTGGAGTTATGGGAAGAATTATAAGAAATAGATACGGCTGGTTCACCATGGCTTGTGGGGGGGGGGATTTTAATGTTATTTTGAACAAAGAGGAGAAGCTTGGTGGTCAGGAGTTCTCACAACATGAGACAACAAATTTTACAACGTGCATAAACTCATGTGCATTGACAGAGGTGAGATTTACTGGGAGTAAATACACGTGGTGGAATGACAGAATTAACGATGCTTGCATTTTTGAAAGGCTAGACAGAGTGTTGGTCAATCAAGAGTTTCTTGATGCCATCCCACAAGTGGAAGTGCAACACTTGTCCAGGCAAGGTTCGGATCATGCCCCAATCCATGTTATTTGTAATTCTTTGGTCCGTAATGTGGTGAAGCCGTTTAAATTCCTTAATTTCTGGTGCAAACACAAAAATTTTAAGAAATTGGTAAAGAATTGCTGGAGTATACATTTTACAGGGTCCCTATTTTTGGAGCTTCATGTAAAGATGAAGAAAGTAAAAAAAGGCCTTGGTGGAGTTGAGCAAAGTAGAATATGGGAATATTTTTGTGCAAATTGCAACATTGGAGAATGTTTTACTGGTAAAGGAGGCTCAATTTGAATTGCTGCCCAGCCCAGAAAACAGGGCAGAATTGTTCAAAGCGGAGGCTGAATTGAAGAAGTTCCTCAAATTAGAGGAGGACTTTTGGAGACAAAAGGCGGGAATGAAGTGGTTCGTGGAGGGTGACAAAAATTCTAAATTTTTTCACTCGTATGTTCAGGGCAAAAGAAGGAAATTACACATAACTGAGATACATAATGTGCATGGGAATATCCTTACTGATGATACGAGGATAGGGGAGGAGGCCATTACTGTTTTTCAACAACAGTTTATGGAGACTAATATTAATCAAGACTATTCTATGCTTGACTATATACCTTTGCTCATATCTGGGGAGGATAATGATGCTATGATTAAACTCCCAGACATGGAGGAGGTGAAGATGGTTGTGTTTTAATTGGATGGAAATAGTGTTGCCGGGCCGGATGGGTTGTCGGGACTATTTTTCCAAGAATGTTGGGACATTGTCTCCCAGGATGTCACCAATGTAGTCAGGGCCTTTTTTTGTTGACAAACTTTGCCAAGATATATAACTCATACTAATTTGGTTCTACTTCCAAAGAAAGATCTGGTGAGATCATTTTCAGACCTTAGACCAATTAGTTAGTTGCTTTATTAACAAGTCATTTCAAGGGTCCTACATGGCAGAATTATGGCAGTTTTGCCAAAGTTTATTTCTCCTAACCAGTCTGGATTTGTAAAGAGTAGGAGTATCTCTGAAAATGTGCTTTTAGCTCAAGAGATCATTGGTGACATTAACAAAAGAAACAAGCATACGAATGTGGTGGTGAAGCTCGACATGACAAAAGCCTATGATAGAGTCTCTTGGGTCTTTATGACAAAAGTCCTGAGGAAATTTGGGTTTTCGGAGGTGATTATTGACATGATTTGGAGGCTGCTTTCAAACAATTGGTACTCAATTTGTATCAATGGGCAAATTCATGGATTATTTCAGTCTACTAGGGGTCTTAAACAAGGGGATCATTTGTCCCCTACACTGTTTATAATTGGTGCAGAAGTTCTGTCTAGGACTCTTAATGCTCTACATTCTGATTCATCCTATTTAGGGTATGGGCTTCCCAAGTGGAGTCCCAATATTAATCATCTGTCATATGTAGATGACACAATATTATTTTGCTCTGGGGACAGGGGATCTATTATCAAAATGATGATGGTACTGTGGAGATATGAAGAAGTATCTGGACAGTTAATTAATATGGCTAAAAGCTACTTCTATCTTCATGAGAAAACTCCGCTGATCTGCTCTATAAGGCTGAGGAAGCTTACTGGGATCAGGCAATGGGAGTTTCCAGTGACTTACCTTGGATGTCCGGTGTTTTATGGGAGGAAAAAGAGCTCATATTTTGAGGATTTAATGAGGAAAGTGGCTAGAAGAATCCTATCATGGCAGAATAAGTTTCTGTCATTTGGTGGAAAGTTCATTCTCATAAACCATGTTCTTCAATCTATGCCTATGCACATTTTGGCAGCTCTTACACCCCCTAAAGGTGTCATAAGGAAGCTACATCAGCTTTTTGCTAAATTTTTTTGAAGTGCCACTAATGCAGAAAAGAGAAAACATTGGGTGGCTTGGGAAGAGATGTGTTATCCTGTGAATGAAGGAGGCATGTGGTTTAGATCTTTGGAGGTAATAAATAGGGCCATGCATGCTAAGCTTTGGTGGAATTTTAGAACATCTGTTGGATCTTTATGGAGTGTTTATATTGGCAATAAATATTGCAAAAAAAGGCATCCTGTTTTGGCCGTGGGTACAGGTGCCTCACAAGCCTGGAGAAGTATGATTAATGGTCGGGAGGAAGTGGAGCCTTATATTTGGTGGCAATTAAAAAATGGGAACTCTAGCTTCTGGTTTAACAATTGGACTAATTTTGGGGCTCTATACTACACGGAAGGGGAACTAGCAGTCGAGGAGGAAAGATAAGCTAATATATTTGCAGATACAGGGTCCTGGAGTATTGATGCTATTGAAGGGGTTGTTTCTGTGGAGATGACAGATATAATATTGAACAGTATCCCCCCTCCAATTGGGAATGAGATTGATAGGGCCTGGTGGACTGGCAACAAATCTGGAGTATTCTCATCGAAGTCAGCTTACCAGATAGTCAGGCCTAGAAGAAACAAGATAGAATGCTCTCAATTTATTTGGGGTACGGGTCTCCCTTTCAAGATCGTCTTTTTTCTTTGGAGAGTCTTAAAAGGTAGGGTTCCAACTGATAACAACTTGAAAAGGTGTAGGATCCCTATAGTGTCTACATGCTATTGTTGTGAAGAAACTATGAATCATTTGTTCTTGACTGCCCCGGTAGCTTGTAAACTATAGCAGCATTTTGTGTTAAGCACAGGTATCAAGTATACAGGTAACCAGCTATTTCCAGCTCTGAACAGTGTTTGGAAGGGAGTGGAGGGTATGAAGGCAAGACATATAATCAGGAGTATCCCAGTAATCATCATTTGGGAATTGTGGATTAGGAGGAATCAGATGAAGCTTGGCAAACAGGTATCATACTATGTTGTGAAAGATAGATATGAAAGGATGATACACTGGCTAATTAAAAATCACTATCCGAATTGGAAGGATGTCCCTACAAAGTGGCTTCAAAGTTTTGACAGAATTCAGCAACAGAAAAAGCAACTGTTCTTTAAAATTGTTAAGTGGAAGTTGCCTGGAGCAGGGATGCTCAAATGCAACACGGATGGGGCCTATAGGGGGAACCCTGGGATCAGTTCTTATGCTTTTTGCATAAGAAATGACCAAGGTGACCTCATTTATGCTGAGGCAGATACCATTGGGGTTGCTACAAACTTGATTGCGGAAACCACTGCTATTTGGAAGGCTTTACAGTTTATACTGCTTGGCATTTGGCAATCCTTGGTAGTGGAATCGAATTCTCTGACTCTAATAAAAATCCTAAGAGGGGAATCGAAGATCCCATGGGAAATCAGTGGGATGGTGGATTTTTTACGCAGTCATTTGCAGGCGAGAAACATACAACTAATACATACATTTAGAGAAGGTAATCAACTTGCAGACCACTTGGCAAATGAAGCATTCAATCATGCAGTGAAGGTGCAATACCATAATTTTAATCAATTACCATGTGTTGCCAGGAAGATATTAAACATGGAGAAATCCCAAATCCCATCCCTACGGATTAGTACTAAACCTATTTACACAAAGGAGATTTGATACAGATTCAGCACACAAAACATAAAGCCATGATGCATGCAGTTATGACAGAGGTACAAAAGCCATTAAGCATCAAAAGGAGATCTACGCACAAAAAAGGATTTATAGGAATGGGGTACAACAGGCATACTATGGGTTACAAGTTATGCACACAAAAAGAAGGGTCAGATATCAACAACAAGCTCAGTCAGGACTAGGAGGTACATGTAGATCCAGAGAAACGCCAGGAGCTGAAAAAGAGCAAGAGAGGAATCTAGTTATACAAGCTCAGATGCGATCAACAAGCAAAAGTAGGGGGAAGAAAGCTTACAAGTCAAAAGGCAGGGACATACATGAGATGCGTGAGTCTTGCACCATTCGAAGACTTGGCCATGGAGGGACATTGCAGAGGGCACTGGAAAAGTCAAAAGTGGCCTCATCTTGAAATGGAAGGGGAGGAAGGGAGAAGATACCTACATGACACCAAGGAGAAGCACGATGAACATGAGGAAGCCGTCAACATCGTGATATTGGAAAGTGAAGGGAAAGTGGTAGATGTTTTTAGACAAGAGATATTTAATTATTCCTTATGTAATGGCCTAATGTTACTTGGGCCAATATTTTTCAGACATGTTAATTAATTAATAAAATGGGCCGCATGCCCGATAGTTGATTAAAAAAAAAAAAAAGAGTTAGACATTGTATACATAGAGACAACATATCAATTTTTTTTTGTTTTTACGTTCTTTTGGTTTAAAGAAAAAATTTATGTTTTACTTCTTCCTGACTTGGCTAAATCTTTGTATTTTTTATTCCATGAAATATATTATTCATTTAACTATGAATGTATTGATTTAATTACTATAAAATTAGCATGAAGATTAATTGTATCTTAATTTTATATAAACTACAATATCTACGAAATTGAATATAAATTTTCATGAAAAGTATTGCGGAGGTTATAACCCTAACAAAATAAAGTACTAAAATTCAATTACTGAGGTTATAAACCCCTACGAAATAAAATAAATTTATTTGCCAAAAAAAGGTTACAAGGTTAAAACCCCCGCTAATTGTCTGTCACAAATTGATTGCGAGAGTCGCTTAAAAACTGCTACAAACGCTGAAATCATGTAACAACAAATTGTGGGGGTTCTTAACCCCTGCTATTTGTAATTTTAACCCCCGCAAATTGACCCTTTTTTTTGTAGTGTAATTTTAAGAACATGTTTGATTTGTGTCCAAATTATTTGATCAAAAGTTTATTAAGAACTAATTATCATTTTTCGTGTTTACTATATATTTTATCCATATTTATTATGTAATATTTTTAATTAGGTACTCCATTGTTTTTAAGTTTACAACAAGAATCTGATAGAAATAATCTTATTAAGGTTATTATAAGTTAATAAGTTAGCCATGTGTAGTAATACAATAGCTTAGATCTTGTTGCATAAGAAATTTCATCTAACTAAATAAATATTTGAATACTTTGATTCAAGATCTAAAATATTTTTATCATTGGAAAAAAGAAATAGTCATTCTTCCTTATTTTTTTAATAAAGATTTTTGCACTCTTTTCTTTCTTGTAAATTTCAATATTTTCTTAAGTTAAAATAAATTGATAAACCTATATTACAAAATTTTAAGGACCCCAAAAATTTTAAGGTTTAAAACAAAATCTTTACTAGTCTCCATTTGATTCGTACCTATATCACATAATTTAATATGGTGTATATTTATAAGGATTGAGACTATGAAATTTATGAGATTCATATGACAATTTTAAATTAATTTATACAATAGAAAAGATCCAAAAATATCTCTAATGTATAAAAAATGACTCACAAATAACGTTCTTCAACTTTTAGATCTGAAAATATCCTTATTTTTTAATTTTTGACTTAAGGATACTCCTCAAATAAATTTTGAATCAGGGTCAAATTTTACTCGTTAAAATAATATGTAAACCTATTATGATTTGTCATGTTTTTAATTTTGGATCTAGTAAAATTCACCCATATTTTAAAGGGCAAATTACAGAAATCACATACTTTTGAAGCAAAATTACAATATATCCCTTAAAAGTTTATAATTACAGAAATCCCTCAAATGGATACAATAATATAAGCGTTGATACATTAATCTGATGCGCGAGATACAATAATATAAGCGCTGATACATGCGCGAGATACAATAATATAAGTGTTGATAAATTAAGGAAAAATTACTTAAATACACAACACTTCTTTACCTATTCTCAATATATCCCTACTCTTTTACTAAAATACATAAATCCCTTATTTTTCCCCAATTCAACTTAACCGGATACTTTATTAGTTTAAGTATCCGCTCATTATTAATTAAAGTATCCGCGCTTCTATATTACGCATCCGCCCGTTAATTAAGTATACGTGCTGCTAACAACTTAATAATTTAAGTATCCGCTCGTTATTAATTAAAGTATCCGCGCTGCTATATTAAGTATCCACACTGCTATATTATGTATCCGAAAAACACTAAAAAAAGGGATTTTTGGTAATTAATGAAAGAGAAGGGAAATGAAGTAATTTCTTTCTTATACTATGTCATTTGCCTAATTTTTACATAAATTAATCTGATGCGCGAGATACAATAATATAAGCATTAATACATTATGTTGTGCCGTAATTTTCCTATCTTTAGAAAAATCACTTTTTGGAAATGTTCTAAGTATAAAACAATTTGAGAAAAATACTTATAAAAGAGTCGCCACTTAATTTTTTAAAGAAATTAAGAAAACTTATATTTTTCAAAGATTTAAACAGAAAAAATCATTTGAAATACCAAAGGGGGTTCGGGGTTCAATTTACACATCGAGAAGGTTTTAAGCATTCGAAGTGCCCACTAACATGCGGTTGACCTGTGATTTGACTATAATATATTTTGACTATTTTTTATAAAAATGATTTAAGAGAGAATAATAATTTATAAATATTTGGTTAACTTTGAGAAAAATAGTTAAATAAAATGACAAATTTTATTTCATTTTTTAGAGAAAGGAATCCAAAATGAAATATTTGACTCGAAATACAAGTGATTAAAATATTAATAAAAATAGATTAATTAGAATTTATTTAATTTAAATAATAATTTAAACCAATTTAATAAATTAAAGCATGAAAATCATTTTAAATTAATTGAAGAATAAAGTCTTGACTAACCTTTTTGAGAAAATGACTAAGTAAGTATTATTATTTTTAGTTAATTGAAAAGGTTTTTGACTAACATTTTTTTTAAAGTTTATTTGAGAAAAATAATTTAACTTAAAACAATTTTGAAATGATAAAAACGTGATTTGAGTGAAAAAGCGTTAAAAAACATCTCTTTTTAAGTACAAAAGGTTTAACTTAATTGAAGATATAATATCTTGACCAATATATTTGATTAATAAAATAAATGAACATAAAAACATGAAATGTATTAGTATTAAACCAACACAAAGAAAATAATTCATCTTTTGGGGAATCTAATTAAGCTAATTAACAATTCTAAAGTTAGAGTCAATGATAAGAAAAACAAACAAAAGACAATTAAATAATTTAAAGGTAAAGGAGAAGATTGAATTTGGGCCCTTTTTGGACCAAATTCGTTGCTACTATTAGGCTTAACCCAATTCCCGTTTTTGTATACACCTGATCTATATCAGTGTATATCAGCATGTGTATAGGTTCTTTTCGTGTATATCTTGCTTCCGAACACATGTATTTCACCTTAGCCCTGTACTTTTCGACCTGTATAGGATTGTATATTTTGCATATTCCTTTGTAAATAACGTGTATACAGCCTTTTTTTTGGACTTCCGGGCAGCTATACATCAGTCTCCAGCCCTGCACTTCAACTTTCATAACGAGACAGACTCAAGAAGATTTTGGGCTTGGCCCAACTTAGGAGAAATGCTATACGGAGTCCCAATGGACTCATGCGAGGAGGTTCATTCATGCACAACATATGATAAGAATTAGTAGGGAGAAGATGAGATTTCACAAGATAATGGAGCAAATGGACATAGTAATTTTAATTAGTACTCTTTTTAATAATATTGTAGGCAATAGTAAGCTCAAATTGCAAGTAAATATATTAGAAGACGGACACGTATACAAAAGGATGGCTACATAATCTATCTTAAATTCGAATCAGTAGCAGTATAAGGACTTAACTAGTGTAAAATAAAGAGAAAAGATAACAAATTATGAATAACATAGAGCTGCAACTGGACATGTTCAAAACAAAGAAGAAAACAATTTCACTTAAGTTGGACAAGTGAAGAAAAGAAAAGCAATCAAGAGAAACAAAACATATTCCTAAGCTCACTGGGAAACATATGCAGAAATAACAACAATAATGATACTATTTTAGTAATTGTTGAAGTAAATCCCATGACCTCCTAATCATTTTTATGAGCTTGAACAACAAGACTAACAAGATAAAAGGTTTACTAATGAGAACAAAGTTAGGAAAATCAGTGCTAAAACATACGAGCAACACCGAGTAGCAAATTAGCTAGCTTCATAGATACAAAATTAAGCTAATGAATATAACAACCAACATATAATACTAAAGTGACTACGTTGATGCCTGAATCATGCCTACTACTAAAAAAAAAATGCACAGGAAATCAGTACTAAAGCAAAAGCCTAAAACCAGGAGAACCAAACATTCATAATAACAAACTCCATATCAAGTATCGAACACAACACACCATATCAAAAAAATAGAATGTTAGAGGAGGCGAAGTTACCTTTCTTGGAGCAGCGATTGAGACGACGAGCAAAGGAAGGCAACGATTCTTCCACCGAAACACGACTCCAAAAAACTCGATGGAAATTAGGGGGAAATCGGGTGAAATTTCGAATTTCAAATTTGAATTCATTCTGCTTGGATTTGGCTGAAATGTTGGCCCAAAAGGTGGTCTCAAATTGGGTTGAGGTGAGGTTAAAATTGCCTAGAATCGTATTGAGAAAATGGCCACATGAATTTTAAGTATGACCTATGAGAATTAAGAAGTTAGACAAATTGAATGTAATTTTGGGAATTTGACTAAAAACATAAAAATGTGATTAATTACTATTAATTAATTAACGAGCTTCTTAATTATAACGAAGCAAATAATTAATTCAGTTATAAAACTAATTAACTCAAAATATAAACCTAACTTATATATTAACTCATGGATTAAATTAAAATATTTATGTAAGAAATAAAATCTTTTTGAGACGATTTTTAAATATTCATAAAGTATACCAACTATATACTTAATTATGTAAAACATGTATATTATTCAAAAATTATAAAAAGGCGACAAAACATTTAAAAATAACTTGTAAACTATTATTATTATTATTTTGAACATTTCTAAAACTAATTATTTTAAATCGCTTGAAATTGAAGAAGCTCAATGATTAT